GGAAGGACCATTTTAGTACCAAAAGTGAAAGTTCAAGGATAATTTTGGTACTTTTTAAAGGTGAAGGATAATTTTGGTACCAAAGTGTAAAGTTGAGGGACTAAAATGGTACTTAAACCAAAAAAAAACTATGAGTATATTCAACAGCGATATTGGCTGTCAAATATAACGTTGCCCCACGCTTCCCAGCGAAAAAATTGAATTTCCTTGTTACTTACATTTTAAACATATTCGACAGAATTTCTGTCAAATATGTTTAACATATAAATAACACTCCGACATCAGACCATCTCATTCTCTGCTAATTTTCATCTTCTTGCCTCTTCCCTTCTCCTTCTCCTTCTCCTTTTTCCACAAATACCATCTCTTTTTAAGTTTCTTCTCCTTTTATTTTCTTTTTTGTTTCTTCTTTTACATTCTCCTCTTTATATTTTCATAAATTACCTTTAATCATCTTCTTTCTTTTCACTCTTCTCTTTTTTTTTGTTGAATTCTTATTATTTAATATGTTAATAGCTTCTTCTTTTTTTCAGATTTTTATACATTGATTATGAAGTAATGTGAGGTAAATTTTTTAATTTATACTTTTTATCTTCTTTTCTTTTTGAAATTTTTATTACTTAATATAAATTTTTTTTCTGTTATTTTTGGCAGAAACAGTAACTTATTTTCAAAGAATTAAAGTTAATGCTAATTTTAATTTTATTTATGATTATCGATTACTTTTTATATTATTGTTAAAATTGTTTGATAAATATATTACTGGGGAATTTGATAATTGTGTTTGTTTTACTAATTTTTTTATATAAAATTAACAGAAAATAATATAAGATTATTAATTCTAGATTTTGTTGATTTTTCAATTTTTTTTTTTTGCCAAGTATATTCTATTACTGTCGAATATGGTATTGCAAAAAGACATATTCAATAGCTAATGGCTGTCAAATATAATTTTCAAAAAAAATATATATATTCGATAGCTATTCGAATGTAATTTCCAAAAAAAAAAAAAAGGTATTTGACAATTAATATATACTAGTTTAATCGACAGCTAATGGCTATCGAATATAACCTGCCAAAATTATAAAGATGGCTACGAAATTCTGTCGATAATGAGTATATTCGACAGAAAGTATCTATCGATTTAAATTAGTATATTCGACAGCTAAAATTTCTGTCAAATATACTCATTATCGACTGCATTTTATACGACACACTTAGCTATCGATTATGTCTATTGATTAAGACATAATCGACAGAAATACCTCTATATTTGACAGAAAAGTCTGTCGAATATACCTCATTTTCCAATAGTGTTTCTTGAGGACTTATAATATGTGTGGATGGAGGGAAATGAAGAAGAGGGGGATGGAAAAAAAATTTATTTAGTTATTTAAAAATATTAGAGGGGAAGGGAGAGGAGTAAAATAAAGTCCTTTACTTCATTTTTCTTTTAATTTATTTATTTATCTAAATAAAGAGATACAATTTTTCTCCCCACTTTTCCTTTTTATTTTTCTCAACCCAAATATATTATTAGTTTTTTCAAGCATGTAATTTTTTTTATTTTACTCAAAAGTGTAAAAAAAAAGGTTTAAGTACCATTTTGGTCCCTCAACTTTTGACTTTGGTACCAAAATTGTCCCTCACCTTTAAAAAGTACCAAAATTATCCTCAGACTTTCATTTTTAGTACCAAAATGGTCCTTCCATCAGTTAAGTGACAGGTGGCACGTTAAAATGCCACAAAATCATTGCATTTTTTTAATCTTAATGACGTGTAAATCCACAAGAGAAAATTTTGTCAACATGGCTTTTTTTTCACACATCAGATTATCAAACAATCATTAAAAATTTTGTGGGATCCACATGAAAATTTGTTTTCTCTTTTCTTAGTTTTAGTCGAGTTCACAAAAATGGCAATGTTCTTCATTTCTCTTTTCATTTTCTTTTCAGATTCAAAACCCTAAACCTGTTAGTTCTGCAAAATCAAAATCAAATCAAGTTTTATATCACCATTGTAATACCCCAAAATTTCTAGAGCATCAAGTGAGAGTTAGGGACCTAATTGTGAAGAAATACTATTAATGAACTTAATGGCAAAAATTTTCAAAGTTTAGGGACTAAAAAGAAAGGAGATTAGGATAAGGATCAAGGCTGATATTTTTATCCTCAGCCACGTGTTTTGCTCTTCATCTTCATTTTTCCTCTCCTCTGTCGACCGAAGCTCCCCTAAGCCACCGACTCATCCCCTTTGAGAAAATTGGTGACAAAGCTTGAAATTTATTCTTCTTTTCTTGTTAAATAACAAGATTTGGGGCTTAGAACTCTCTTTAAACCCAGAAATTTCAGATCTGCTTTGTTCTTCCCCTTTGTCTGTCCGCTGTTCTGCCGGGTGTGAATCCTTCGGGATTTTTGGTAAGAACCAGCTTCAAGTTCATCTCTTTAGCTTTAATTTGGCTTGGGTCACTCTAATCCCTTTTGTTTCTTGCAATTTTGTGGTAGTTTTCATGATTTCTTCTCCGGTCTCCGTCGGCCTCCATACCCGCCAGCTCCGGTTTTGGTTGCTGGAAAAATTCTGGTATGTTGATGGCATCTTTAAGTCCAGAAATGGTTAACTAGTTGCTGCCTTGTGTTGTTGAATTTTATCAATTTGTTGCTGCCATGTGTGTCTGAATTTCTGCAGAAATATGGAAGAATTTGGCAGCATTTTAAACATGTTTTTTTTTAGCTTAATTCCTGTAGAAATAAACCTGTTTTTGGCTTGAAATTAACTGCTGTTCTGTGTGGAAAATCCTGCTGTTTTGCCAAAATTTTACTATTCACGCGCAGTTACTGTTCACGCAGGAAATTTTGCAATTTGCTGCTGCGTTTTCTGCATTTTCTGCTGCATTTTTCTGCAAACTTGCTGCTGCATTTTCTGCACTTGCTGCTGCATTTTTCTGCAAGTTGCTGCTGTTTTCACTGTTCACGCAGAAACATTC